TTTATTTTTTTATTTTTTTAGGTTTCCCCTAATTTCACTCATTAACAATAGATCGATTGATAATTATTTTTCATAATTTATTTTGATTTGTTTTATATTAATCATGATTTTTTTTTAGTTTCATTTTATGAGGCTATTCTAATCTCATAACCTATATCATGAGTTTGGTAGGTTAACCCGGGATGACTCGGGTTTGTTTTTTGTGTTCTCTTTTAATTGATTTTTTTATTTTATCATTTTTAACATTGAGTTGATTAAAAATTGAATTTCATAATTTGTTATGATTTACTTTATATGAAGTTATCATGATCTCATGATCCAGCTATGAATTTGATAAATTAATCTAAGTTAATTTAAGTCGACTCAATATATTGTCATTTCAATATTTTTTCTAAAAAATATCTTAAATTTGTTTTTAATCAAACTCAAGTTTTTTTATTTTTTAAGGTTTCCCCCTAATTTCATTCATTAACAATAGATCGATTGATAATTATTTTTCATAATTTATTTTGATTTGTTTTATATTAATCATGATTTTTTTTTAGTTTCATTTTATGAGGCTATTCTAATCTCATAACCTATATCATGAGTTTGGTAGGTTAACCCGGGATGACTCGGGTTTGTTTTTTGTGTTCTCTTTTAATTGATTTTATTTTATTTTATCCTTTAACATTGAGTTGATTAAAAATTGAATTTCATAATTTGTTATGATTTACTTTATATGAAGTTATCATGATCTCATGATCCAGCTATGAATTTGATAAATTAATCTAAGTTAATTTAAGTCGACTCAATATATTGTCATTTCAATATTTTTTCTAAAAAATATCTTAAATTTGTTTTTAATCAAACTCAAGTTTTACTAATTATCCAAATTATTTCTAAATCCATTAAATTTATCATATCATGTCAAATAAATCACTACATGGTTTAAATTTCTTTTCATTAGGAAAAAAAAACAGAGAGAGAGAGTCCACATCCCCCTTAACCTAGCATAGCATAGCGTGGAGAACGTACTACATAATTCTATAAGCAGCCATGATCACTGATCCGTCTTGCAAAAACAATCCTTGATAAAAAAAGAAGAAGACAGGCGGTATGCTCTGCGAAGAATATTTAATCACATTGCTACTGCTTGTCATTCTAATATTCGGGATACAAACCAGTTTCCTTTCTTTCCAAGAACAAAAAGGCATCATGCAAATCTTCCAATCAGGACCCATTATTTGCTGGAAATGAAACCGTACGTCAATTCATGTTGGTTGATAATTGAATTGATTTCAGTCTTATTTTATTTGTTTTTTTAAAAAAGCATTCAATAATCAGGGTATAGAAAAGTCTCCCTCCCACCCCAGATGAAATTCCAAGAGAACCACCTGAATCTCCTTTTCCCAAAGCATTAAAAAACTGTATGAAAGGCAAGGCTGAGATTAGACTTTGTTTTAACGTTAGGAATGTTGGGATGTTGAAGCAATGATACAAATATCATGATGTGTGCTTTGAAAAGTGATTATCTAACTCAGCGATCCACTCTCCCTAAAGCAAAGATATCTTCGTCTCAATCCCCAAGTCTTTCCCTGTTTCCAATGCTTGATTAACTTAGATTCTGCGTCTGTCTCTTTTGATTTCTTCTCCTCTTTCTTCTTTTTTTTTTCCAGAGATCAAAAAATATGATATGCTCAACCCATGCTGCCATGTTAAAAGAAGAGACCATCTGGATTAACCTTTTACTCCTTCCCTGGATGCATGAGGCAGGCCCTAACAAAACTAAAGTATATTTGGATTCACCAACGGCCATTTCCTCCTTAAATAATCGAACAAAACAAAAGTCAGATTCAAATAAGGTTTTTGTTTTCAAATTCTTCAGAGTATAAAACACTCTGGAGTGTTTCGGTCAGATCACGTGGAATAAGTAAAGATTAGCAGATCTGGGCCATCATGTCCAAGGGCAAACAACAATGGTATAAGCTTAAAATTCAACTACTCAAACACTCTGTTTGACGTCAACTTCCCATGGAAGGGAAAGTTCGATCTCGGGCTCATGACAAGACAGGACATTGATGAAGCCCATGTTGGCAAAACTCCCACGTCCTTGGCTGCTTATTCGACAGGAGAGCTATGTTAAGGCCTTGCAGAAAACCACGAAAAACCCATAAGGCCTCTCCAGAAAGCTCGTGTTGAGTTCAGAGATTGGTCACATGGAATTACATGGCTGATGTCTTGAATATGTCATATATATAATTGTACTTCCACCCACTAATGATGTTCTTTCACTGATAATCTAAGCAATTACATGGCGGATTTCTTGAATATGTCATACATATAATTGTACTTCCACCCACTAAAGATGTTCTTTCACTGATAATCTAAGCAGACCCAGAATGCGAAAAACAATAACTACGATATCCTTTTAATTAATACAAGTGTCTTGCTTCTTAATAATAAAAAATCCATAAAATCCCACCTGAATTGAACAAGAACGAGACATTCCTAACCAGTCAATTAAAAGCGAAAGCTCGATATGCTTAACAGTATCTCACAATAAAACCGAAAGAGAATCTTGGGATTGATAAACAGAGTGTTATTACCCATTTTAGACTCCACATTAAAAAAAAAAGGCGAGAAAATACAGACAAAAAGAAAAAGAAAAACTATTGGTAGAATATGACCTTAAGAGAACATGTGTAGCATTTTGATTGCCCACCAAGGAGAGGGGGGGTGGGGGGGACGAAAAGAGCATTAGCCCTCTCAGAAGATAATAATTTCTTCCACCTTAGATTGGAGAAATATTCATCCATATATATATATGATATAAGTATCATATGACATAAATAGAATATGTTTAGCATTTTTAATTTTTTTTACAAATACATTAACAATATCACTTTCATTTTAAATGAGATATATTATTAGATGAATCTATCAATAAATAAAACTTTTACAAATTATTAAACCAATCCAAATCATTAAATTAGTAAAATAATAGATTGGGTAGCCATATATTCGCATTACTTTTCTAGTAGGTGTTGAGAAAAATCTAATAACTCAGGTTATAAACCACCAGTTAAAAAAATTAACTTTATTTGAATTATATGGGAGAAAAAAAGAGAGGCAATGATAACAAACAATATATATATATAATGTGAGCCATCAAATCATCATGATAAATATATAAATATATAATCTACGTATTAAAAGGTGAGTTAGTTTAAATTAACTTGACAAACTCGTGTTTTATATTATGAAGTCAGAATAATTTGATTGAATTTTTTTAAAAAAAAAACTTCAAGACCATTTTATTGTAAAAAAGTGTCGAATGACAATATTGAAAAGGAAAATAAGATAAAAAAAAAAGATATTAACACTTGTTAACTTTTCAAACTCGTAATCCAGATCATTGAACCGGAAGCTATATATATGAAAAAATCATGAAACTCAATTTAAAAAAAATAAAATATTAAAGGATGAAATTGAGAAAATAAATTAAATAAAAAATCCGAAATAAAAAAATAATATTTAAAAGAATGAAGGTTAAAATTGAAATAAAAAAATAAATGAATGGAAAATAACAAATTTTTAATTCGAGAGTTATATTGAAAAGAAAAAAATCATTAACAAAATAAAAAAAATCAAAAAATGTATATATTATAAACTTGGATTGTAGTGAAATTAAGAAATAATAAAAATTTCATAAAAAAGTCAAGAAGCCAAATAAAAAATAAAAAAATAAAAAATTAAATTAAAAATATTAATACATGATAAAAAGAAATATAAACAAGTGTAGTTTTTCACCATTTTTTTATACATAAAAAAATTTTAAAATGTAAAGCAAGAAATATGAAGGAAAAAAAAAAAAAAAGCTTTTTAGCTGGCTTGTAAAGTCAAAGCCCACATGGGTGGGCTTTTAATTTTTTTTAGATTCCGGCCGCTGTAATAAATAGTAAAATAAGGTTCCTGTTTTTTACGCTTAAAAACTTTTTTTAATTTTTTAATTTTTTTTCCTCAAAACACCTGAAAACTTGAGCTGTTGTTGCTGGAAATGTGTTGAGTTGCTGTTGCTACTGCATCCAGGCTGCTGCGTTTGATTTCCAGTACGAGCTACTGCCGAAGGTTTGCTGGACTATTGTTGTGTTGCAGGAGGCTGAGAAGCTGCTTAATGTTGTTGTGTGCTGGACTATTGCTGCTGTTGAGACTGTTTTTTAGCTGCTACGAGAGGTTGTCGTTGTGTTTGGATGTTGTTGAAAACATTGCTAAGGGATCGAGCAAGAATGTTGCATTTTTCTCTTCTAATCAACTCATCAACATGAGCTCTAAATTACTAGTTTAACAAGGATTCTAAACACAAATCTTTTCTAACAAAGATTCCAACTTGGATTAGTATCTAACTAATATCTAATAGTTATGTGGAACTCGAGGAAGTATATTTGAAAGGCATGCAACTTCATTGCAAGAAATTAACCTTATATACCTCATAATGATTGATTTCACACACTAGTCTGATGATCGTTTGCTATATAACATTGGTTTGTAAGAAAAATTAAGATTGATGATCAACTGTGAGAATATACATTAAACATTAATTCTTGCGGAACATGACGAGATTTTCATATTTTACTCAATACTGATCATCTACATTAATCCCAGACTGATAAATACCATAAAAAAAAAATGCTTGAAAAAGAAACATATAAGATATATAAAAAGATTACTACAAAACAGTTCAATAAACAAAATAAGCAAAACCAGTCATTTGCCCTCTCCATGCTCCCTGCGGTTTCTTTCTTTCTTTCTTTTTCAAGGGAGAGGCCCATACTTACATCATGCATGAATGTAATGATGCACAGCAACGCTTTCCCTTCCTTTTAAATCTTCACCTACCTACCTTTTTCAAGATTTGAATATGAGACATCGATCGAGGACAGAAGGTGAACAGCGTATCTCACAACAACCCCTCCTTGTCAAAATCCATAGATGACTTACAAGAAGGCGGGAGGGAGTACCTGGATGAGAATCCCCTTCCCAAAAGATCATCATCTTCATAAAGTTTTGCACCCTCGTCGAAGTTAAGGGCATAACTCGAAGGATCATATTGGAAATTTCCATGTTGAGGATTGCCACCCCCTGGCTTCTTATTGAACCTCCGCAGGAATGTTTTCCATTTAGGGCCTGCAACTAGTTCTGACCAATCCCGGATTTTCATCCATCCCTGAAACCACCATGATTCTCGGTTCGCTGTGCAGTCTGTAGGCTTGATTCTTTGCCAAAATTCTGATCCAATGATGCAACTGGAATATGACGGTCGATCTGTGGTTAAGAATGGTATCCAACAGCACCCTCTTTTGGCAAAAGCGAGGTCATGGATATCATCGTTATTACCATAAGAAGAAGGGGAAACATCTGGGGCCTGAGAGGACATTTGATCAGGGCTACCAAATGGGTTTGCAGACCACAAGAGAGAATCAGAAAATAATAAATTAGTAAGTCTCTCCTCTGCAAACCCTAGATAGCTCTTAAATTGTTTTTGGGCGGTGAAATCTCTCACTAATAAGGGAGGAATTGTAGGGTTTGTTGTTATTTTTCTTTTTTGGGATGGTCTCCTTGCATCTGGAGGTTATGACAGCAAAGAGTGCCGAGTTTAGAAGGGTAGAAAGTATAAATTGGGCAATTAGCATGTAATATATACTGAAATGATACATAAGCAATAATTTGTGGAGAAATAGCATATTTCCTTAAGAAAAATTGTGCTTTAGTTGATTTTTAAAATATTTTTTATTTAAATATATATTTAAATAATATTTTTTATTAATTTTTAAAAATATTTTTTGATATTAGTATATTCAAATAATTTTAAAATACAAAAAATATTAATTTAAAATAAAAATACTAAAATAATTATTTTTAAAATATTTTTAAAATACAAAAATAAACAAGAAATATTATTCAATGGTTATGGTGAGAGTAGAGTTTCATATTTGAAAGTACATATAAAATATTTTGCAAATTTTAATTAAAATTTATTTTTTAGTTTATAAATTAAATATATATATATATATACCAATAAAATATATTTAAAAAAAATATAAAATCATAGTTACTAGTTATATAATTATATCCAACTGGATAGCAAGTGCGGCGCTTTAAAAACATGATATTTTTAAATATTATTATTATGGGGTATAATAATTATTTTATTGTATTTAAAAATAATAATAATTAATAAATATTATATTTTAAAAGTTTGACAAGAAGAAAATATATTATTTTATTATATTTTTTAAAATAATATTATTTCACTAAAATTTGTAATTTACTGTACTAGTTCTCCTTTTGTAACATAATAATGGATGCTTCGGTGTAAACCAAAAACAATAGATGCCCGTGTACAAGCATTATGACATTTTCCCATGACCAACAAAGGATTCTATTCATGTATATCCTCCTAAATAGTTTTTTTTTATTAATTTCATTTTCTTAGCCACGAAATATTTTCTTCCTTTTCCTTTTCTTTTCTTTTCTTTTTTGGGTTCAAGAAATACCCTTTCTAGACTAAAATACCCCATTAAACTCCTTTTGGATGATGATGCGTGTGCTTGGTAAGTTAAAAAAATGTTTGAAAAAAGATCCCTGTAAATAATTTTTTCAAATTAAACCCTATATTCATTGTATTTATACAATCAATCCAATTATTCTCTTTAGTTACTCTAAATCCATTTGTTATGTAATTAAAACTTTATGAGGGGTTGATATATTCTTTTTTTTTTCAAAATATCGTTTTTTAAAATTTAATATATATATATATATGTGTGCGAGTGTGTGTTTTTTAATTTAATTTTTTTTAATATTAAATTTATTAAAGATTGAATTATAAATTTTTAATTTACTTTGATGATATTACCTTATATTTATAATTTATATTTTAAATTTAACGGAATAACTCAATTAACTTAACTTATTTATTTCATTTATTTTTAAATATTATAATAATTAAAAATTAATTTTTATGATTTATTTTTGTTAATGAAAATATTATAAATTATTTTTTTTTCTATCAATTTATCTTCAATTAATTTCTAGGAAGAATTAAAAGCACGCCTTTTCGTGCAAAACACTCTATATGAATGTTAATGTAAAAACATGAAAACGGTACTGGAGAATAAAAGAAATAATATTGAGTCACTGGCAAGGACAAGTTAGTACTGGGGAGGTAAATGAAGGCGATCTCTATTTACTCCCTAACCTTTTTTTTGTTTCGATTAGGTCCTCAATATATCCATGGATTCTAAAGCAAGTACTTCCGTTAACTCTAATTAACATAACAATTAAACAGTCACTTGAAACTCACATAATTCCATCTATTATATGATCTATATGCGAACCTCACAAGATTCAAGGTAAAGAATCTTAAGAAATCTAATAGTTTTCAATAAAAATACAATAAAATCATAGGCAGTTCAAGCCAATGCCTTTAAAGTAATGTTTTTAGTCGGCATTCAAAATTTGTGACAGTAGTGGTTTGTTAAAGTGTTTTTAATTTAAATATATGTTAAAATAATATTTTTTTAAAATTAGTATTGATATTAGCATATTAAAATGAACTGAAAACATAAAAAAAAATAAAGTAAAAATTTTATTTTAATTTTTTTTAAAATATTTTAAAATGCAAAAAGAAAAAAAAGTTAGAATAGTATTGCACCCATATGCCATTAAATATACATATATTATGGCATTATCCCCCAAAAATTATTTTGCCCTCTTATTATGAAGGGACAGTCTAATCTTTATCCAAGATATGGATTGAACTGGCAGTCCTATCTCTAATAATTCTTGTTGATTTATTATTTTTACGGAAGTTCTTATCAAAACCCTAAAAGGTGCGTTTTTTCTAAATTAAAACCGTTGCGAATCCTGCTCCTCTCAAATTCAATACAATTAATTGGTCCAAATGGGCTAGAGTCCGGCCCATTTTTATATTGGATTTGGGATGTAAGGAGGTCCCCGTGACTTCAAAGCACAGGTCGGTGAAATACGAGCACAGAAAGCATTTAGCTGGGGCATAACGTGGATTAATTGGAACTTTTTTTTTTTTAGTGAATATTTGGAATTATAGTAGTTCTTGTGGTTATTGTTTAAAATAATAGACTTAAAAAAAATTATAATTTTTTTAATTATAATTTTAAATATTTTTTAGGATATACAATACAAAACTATAATCTGTATTTGTTAAAAAAATACATTTAAATATATAATTGGAGCAAAATGTGCCGCACTCCACAAACATCTGCTTAAAATTCGAATTGAACACATAGCAAATCACAACATAAAACTACAAGTGGTGTGATCATAAAGAAGAAGAACATGGGACAATTAGGTGATGATTAGTCATGGGAAATTTTAAAAGGTAATTTTTATTTGATTATATGATAAATAAAATAGATATTTGTAAGAGTTTGAAACACTTAATTTCTAACATAAAATGTATTTTTTAAATTGAAGTTCTCATTCTTTACACTTTTTCTTTATTTTGTTGAAAACTATTTTTTTTATTATTATTATCAACATCATTTTTTTATATGAATCTAGTGTAATTAAAATAATTATTCTCAAGAATCTTAATAATTTAAATCAAGGAGTGAAAATTCTATTTCAAAAAGCAAAACTCCTGTATTTTTAATCACTGACTTATTTTTCAAATAAAAAATTATCATAATCTAAAAAGAAAATTTAAAAAACATAATGCCTTTATAATTTTTAAGTGGTTATGTAAAAATTAAAAGAATAATTAATTCATGAAACACATATAAAAATAACAATAAAGAGACTATACAGTTCTCATTAAATATTCACTCGCAGCTTGTTCACCATTTACTACATTCTAGGGTATTATAAAACTATATTTAGAAGCAGATAATATATTTAATAAACATTAAATAGATTAAATAAGAATAACATAAATTAGGGGAAGAAAAAGAGAGATAACATTTTTATTTCATATAATTTTGTAAATGTATTCATACACTAATATCATCTCAATAATGTTTTTATTTATAGTCTAATGTTTATTAATATTTATAAGCTTAAAAGTCACAATAAAATATAGTGTCAACTTGGAGATGATAAATGAACATGAAGATGAATAGGTTATAAAAAAAAATATTTATATACAATATATGATTTCATAACATTCTTTGGATGTCTTTTGTATAGTTTTCCATATTGAAAACTTTCTCATTAAAAACATTACCAAGAAAATACACGATGAGAGATAAAAAGTTGGTTAAGGAAAAAAGAGTATAGTGTGTGTTAACCTCCTCTCGTGAATATATTACCTTAAATCTTTATGTTGTTATTTTGTATTATTGTGTCACAATCCTTCAAATGTTGTAATTGACAATGCTTTAGTAAAAATATGCTAGATTATCTTATGATTAAATTTGTTAACATCAATATCACCACATTTATCAAGGTCATGTGTGAAGAAAAATAATTTAGTAAGAAATATTTTGTTCTATCTCATTTAACATGTCCTCTCTTTAATTGAGCTATACGTGCGACATTGTCTTCATATGATATGGTTAAAGTTTCTCTATTGGATAATAAACTACATGGTCCTTTAATATCTTGAGTCATGGATCTCAGTTATATACATTATAGACTTACTTCATAGATGATAGATATTTTAACATAATTAGATGGAATGACATTTAATGTTTGCTTTGTAGATCTCCATGATAATCATATACCTTTATGACAAGTATTTAATATAAAATATATCAGTATTACCATATGTAAATAGATAATTTGTTTGAGATCAACCTTTATATTGATCGGATAAATATTCTGCATTAGCATACCCCACTAATTCATGATTAAGATTATTTGAATAAAATAATCTCATATCCATAATTCCTCATAAATAACAAAAAAATATATTTAACTCCATTCCAATATCTTTAAGTAGGAGAAAAACTATATCTTGTTCGAAAATTTACAGAGAATGTTATATTAGGCCGTGTAATATTAACAAGATGCATTAGCATACCAATTGCATTAAAGTAAGGTACTTGAGGACTAAGTAATTCTTCAATATCCTCTCAATGTCTAAAATGGATTTTTTTTCTCATCAAGTGATCGAACAACCATTGAGATACCCAATGG